GCATTTGTCGCATTCCTTAGAAAGCTTGGAGATGAAGGAGGCCATTGGAAATGGTTTTGAAGGTTTTCTGGGAAGAATTCAGAGGGTTTTCTTCGGTTTTCTGAACATGAGAGATTTTGGAGAACTTGAAAACGTAAAGAATTAATAATAAAAGTCCGAGTATTTATACACTTATGGAAGGGAAGATCAAGCGAGGATTTTTAAAAAGTTAAGATGAGAGTGATCGGGAAGATCGCTAATAATTATGGAGTGACGGAGAGTATTAACAGACCCAGGAGAAAGAACCGAAAAACTCGCAGATTGAGGATTCATGATGATATCGTGACAGCGTTCTTTTATGAAGAAACGACGTTTCAGTGTTTGCACGATCTCGAGGGTACCGAAAGATTCACAAATCAAGATTGCACGATGGCATACGACGATAGGTATAATGATTTGTGGACGTCTGGACATCTGCACGCCTTGAGAAATCCAAAAATCTCGCGGATGAAGGGGGTAATGATGAAAGGACGTTTCAAGTCATACTGAGAAGAGGATACTTGACAAGATATCTGACGAGATCAAGATCGTGCAATCATGCTTCATAAATGCACCTCGGGAGATGAAGTCTGGTTTCGCTTCTTCAAGGTCAGGGCTCGGCCAGAGATTTCAGGCCAAAAAAAGCCTTAGAAGCAAAGGGGCAATGTTTGGGCCCAAAATGTTGGTTTGGGCCGAGTTTGATTCCCAGCCCGGAAGGTCTTACGAAAAGGTTATCGTGGATCGTCTAGTTCATGGGCTTCCTAGCCTAGGTCGACCAAGTCTTGCTATGAGACAAGTAATTGAATCCTGGCGCAATAAGGAGTTTCGGCAAGATAAAGATATTGATAACCTGGAAGTGAATAAGGCTTGATAAAAGACTGGGTTCAAAGTCGTAGTGAAAATAGGACTGGTCAAGATAGTGTTTGATTAGAATAAGAAGTCCTAATCCAAGTAGGGTTTTAACTCGATCCAGAAAGGACTTGATGCTATAAATAGAGGAGGTCATGCATCATTCAAGCCCTCTAATTCAACACACAACTGCCCTGTGCAAATTCTCTCAACAACCTTGAGATTTTTTCTTCTCTTTTCGCCGACATACCTTCAATTTGGATAAAGAGCACTGTGAAGGCAACCGATGATATCTTCAGTTGGCATAAACAACACTGTCGCCGTAGAATCAGTCGATCTCGCAGCATCTTCAGTTGGCATAAACAACACTGCGTCGAGGGCGATTGATTATCTATCCAAGTCTCGGTCGAGAAGGATTTCCGAATCTTTATTGGTCGAGGTCATCTCATCAGCCTTCTCGGCGAAGTGAGGTGTTACAGTTTACTGGGCTCGGCACATTGCACGTCGAGTTATTTTATGATTGGATACTCACAAGTGGGATTTAGAGTTTGGCATTCCGACGGCCGAACCACGTTTACTGTTAAGACTTATATTCGCTTTGAGTATTTCTTATACTTTGGTGTCGATTCGGCGTGAGTTTACTCTGACGAATACCATCACTGTGACCGAATCCAACGACGACGATTTGTGAACTTCGTAAGAATAGTAGCCTTGTCTTTAGGTTCGAGAACCCAAAAGGCCGAGACGTGTTCCTTCCTCAGTCGCAATCACAAGACGAAGTCAGCCGCATGTTCAACGCAACGTCAACACATTTTACTCATCGGCCGAGCTTGGCCGTCGAGTTGGCACGCCTCGCATTCAACCGAAGGACATAGTTAGCTCATAGATTACTCGGCTTGCGCGCCACGTAGGTTTGGTAGTTTTTAGGGTCAACACCATATAAGCCATTTTTTCCCATGCTGCATTCCTTATAAGAATGGCACTAATAAGATTTAGCAAACTTCAAATGCAACAGTTTCAAAATGAAGAAAGATCAATTCTTAACTGCCTCCATTTTCATTTTTTTATCTACCCGAAAAATTTCCAGCTATCTAGACCTCATTCATCAAGTATTAGGAAAAGCACATTAATGTACTCATCATTGTATCATCTACATCACTCAAGAGCATTGATACCCTTTCTAAGAAGTAATTTACCCGCTATACAGATTAAGTTTCAACAGTAAAATCATTGTTTATCGACAATGTGACTCACTTGAATATGAGGTGCCTAGAACATTTCTTGGATGGCTGCTTCAACTTCTGCCATACCAACAAGGGTTTTTCCTGCAAAGTGGAAATATATAAATCCGTAAGTGACAAGAAAAAGCTTCATAAGAAAAGTTAATAACTTCAATTCCTTGGTTGAATTACCTCAAGGTTACTGGTTAAAAGGCTGCTTATTCAATATCCAAAATAATGCATTAGGAATATTTAAGTTAATTTATGTATTATTTGTATTGCCTGTTCTTATTTCTTTCTGTCTCCTGGTTACTTGTTCAACATCACAATATTCTGAGGAAGTCCCAATCTGGGGCCATGTTGGAGGGGAGAGGCAAATAAAAATTCCCTTGAGAAAGAGATTGTATATCTCTAGAACCAAATTATCCACTTCAATGCATCAATTAACATCAAATGTTTCGTGTCCTTGATCTAAAGATGGTGCAAATCAAAACATTCATACCAAGTTTCAAATCAAATTTACAACTCTTGTGCATGAATATTCGATATACTTCCTGGTTCTCATTTTCTAGTAATCAAGAAGTCCTGAAATAGAAATACAATACTTATATTTCAAGGAAAATTTACAACTCTATGTTCTGTTGATGTGATTAGTGGAGGAAACTAAAAGCCGAGATTAATTATAGTTTGAACTAAATGATAGCAATAACTTGAGAGTTCAAAAGTGTGAAATATGATTGAGAGAGAACATTTTTTCCAAGATTTGCATGACCATTGACTGATACGACTAAGTTAAGATATTTCTGTCTACTAGATGATTTCAGGAATTGAAGCTAATCAAACATGGTGATAGAAGTTGACGGGAGTGCAGAGAGTATAGGACATATTACCATAACAATACGAAAGCAAGGATCTTTCAGTTCAAGTTTCCTACTTTAAAGGGGTTGTCCCTCATTGTTTTCCTTGCACCATCAATTTATGAATAAGCTAGTTTGATAAATCAATTATTAAAGTTCGATACCTTCGGAAGCATCATTAGGAGTTGAGGTTAGTTTCTTCAGTCTATAGTCTGTGATTTCTGCCGCACGTCTGCATATCTCCAGTGCACGACGTGCATCCCCTGAAATAGCTGCCACCTGAATGTATTTTTCAAATAATGTCAGAGACTGAGTGTTCAGTGGAGAATCCACTAATGAGTTTATAAATTTTATGACGAAACACAGAACAAAAAACTGGCCTTTCTTGAAGCAAACTCTATAGCTTGTCGTTTGAATGCATTTATTCCTTTAAGGTGGCTCGAAACTATTTCTTCAAGCTGTTGGTAATTATAGGGGCCAAAGCAAAGCCTTTGGATTCCCATACGACTTGAAATACGAGGAAGCAACTTCTCAGGAAGATCCATGGTATTTGCTATGCCTGAACATGTATTTTATAACAGGTTAATGCTGCAGTCATAAAAAATCTCATAGTCATCGTCCTTATTTTCCTTTTTGTATTTGAGAATCCATTAATCCCAGAAAAGAAAGATCACTGTGAGATAAGAATGCAATCATTATTCAACAAGGATGTGTAATGGAGATAAAGTATACCTATTACAACTAATTTTGAGTGTGGCTTAGTAGGCCAGTCAAGAATGTTGTATCGAACCTGAAACCAAAAAACAATCTGTATCATATATAATGCATGACTGGAATACTATTAACAAATATTCTCATCACAAAATGTAGAAGTTGCCAACTGAAAGGAGAAAAAATGGTTACCGACTGGTTTCATCAACGAGAAGAATACAAGGCTTGTCATCCTCTTTACCAATTTTCTTTCCTTCAGAGAACTGCTTATTTAGCAAGTGGAGAGCCTTTTTCCAACCAACTCTGTGCCCACTTAAGGCTTCATATATAACCTGTGAAAATAAAACAGGTGTGACAAGGCAACAATGGCATGCCAGATTATAAGGTATAGCATCAAATCTATATGTAATTTACCCTGTAGATATTCTCTGGTGACACCAATTTTAGACCATTTATCTCCACAAAACAGTAGGGTCTTATACTTCCTGCATCAACTTCAGACCTTAGATTCTTCATTATTGCAAGTACACTCCTTGTCTGCAGTTATAGAAGGATACAAAAAAGAATAGGTGAAACCTATTTCATGCATCAATAGTACATAAAAGAAATGTATAGGCTATCTGAAATAAAAGCTATCTCTCTATAAATAGTTTAACAGATCGTACCTTTCCAGTACCAGGAACACCATGAATGTACAGGCAACGTCCCAAACACTTATCATCAGAGATTGAATCTTTGATAAATGTAGTTATTTCCAACATTTCTCTGCATGCAAGCAGGTCTCCATTATTGCAAACAATACAATAACAAATAAAAGAAGAAGAAAAAACCTGTAATGAATGACTCTCACATACTTATCCCTGCAAAGCAAAGATTTAGGCAATGATGACAGCAGAAGTGCTGCCTTTGCTATTTCAAGATCAGTCTGCTTATGGCATCTTACTTACTCAAGGATTTTCTTCATTCCTATCTTTTGAAGTCCAAAGAACCGCCCTTTCTGTGAATTCTGTAGATACACAATTGAATAGTTTAATTTGGGGGAGAAAACATACTAAATCCACAAGTATGAGATAGAAGATAATGTCCATACTGCAGCCAACTCATGAGCTCGAAATGGTTTAGCTAGTATACTTTTTATGCTTTCCTCGTCATAGTCCATGTCTTTTTCTGAATCAAAGTCTGAGTCTTTGCCAACTTTCCAATCTTCATCACTTCCAGCTTCATCATCATCCTACCAAATTGTTAAAACCCAAAAATTCCAACTCACATTCAATCCGTTTGGATTTATGTAGTATGTTCAATTTTGGTTCTCGTTGCCTGAAACACTTACCCCTTCACCGTCATCAATTTATGAAAGACGATGTGCCAATGAATATCATATTCATATTTGCATAAAAAAACGTCATCCCCTTCATTGCTTGCTTTGGCATATTCTTTAGGACTCGTGACAAAACAATGTCGAAGAATACATTCCATCTGTTAAAATATGAATTCATCATATAAATGTTTTAAGTTAATGAAGTAGCTACCAAAAAATGTCGAAGAATAGATTCCATGTTAGACAGTTAAAACACATGCAAATGAGAAGACTCAAAGACAGTTAAAGGTGCATACAAATGAGAAGACTCGAAGACTTCCAGAAATGAAACAGACACTTTACCAAAAACTTACCAGTTAAGGACATACATTTCATTCTCATATCGAGTTGTTAAATTGCAACAATTCGGTAAATTTTAAGACCTCTGCTAAAAGTTGCAGCTTTTTCCTATTTCCTAACCTTACAACTTTCCAATGTCTTTCTAAGCTCCCAATACAAGAATAAAAATGACTGTAGACTAGCCTTTCCTCTTAGAAAAGCCTAAAATAATTTAGAGTTGATATCTGGTAAGAACCCCACCTTTAGCATGTTCTGCCAGCTTTCGACATCTTTAGGAGCTACCTAAAGGAAGGAAAACTGGTGGTATATGAGCCTATCAACTTCCCCAAAAAAAAAGGCACTAAATTTTACCAAGACTGCACATTCAATCCTTTCCCTGAGACCCTAGTAATGTCAAGATCTCTCCTTACTCAAAATTAAAAGTTACCATCTAAACAAGAGAAGTTATTACTAATGCCATATGATACTCGTCTTCTCTTTCACAAGTTTTTTTAACTTATTTAGGATGATCCTATAAACTTAATCAGCACAACTCTATAAACTTAATCAGCATAATTCTATAAACTTATTGTTGAGAATGAATCCCACATTGATGAGAGGAGGGACCTTGTATGTGCTTTTAAGTAGTTGGGCTACTCCATATATTGCCAATTCGTTTTATGGTGGAACCTCAACTTTCTTCACTCATTCAGCACAACATTATAAATTGAGTCTGATTGTTAAAACTTTACACTGGAGCAACTTTCTCCATAAGGAAAATGAAGGTATACTCAATTTTACACTATTTTGAAAAAGTTCAACTAAAAAGATACTAATAGAACACGCCTACCAATGAAAGTAGTCAAAACAGCACGACCTGGCCCAATTTTCAAATGCAAGTCTTTTTCATAGTCACAAGGGAAAATAAATTACTGGAAACTAATGTCAAAATCTGTGTGCATATCACTCAACTTATAAACTCCTTGCAATCAACTCCTGATCTAAGAATTAATCCTAGTTTATGTTTATTGGTGTTGGCTAAATATGCTTTTGCTAATTTATTTTGGCTTCTTTTTTTTTCTCTCTCGAGTTAAACATATGCCATGAAATCTTTCTGGCTTAGTTAGTTTCTCATAATAATTGTTCTTACTAAAAAGAATAATCAAGGTTAGATGGTATCTTTCACCTCAATGTCAGCAAAATCATTTGTGCGATAAATTTCTCTCCACAAATTATGAGGTTGTCTTCCAGCTGCAGTCGCTTTTGGGATTATATACCAATGTACCCGACACCAATAGCTGCCATCTACTTCTTTCCATATGCTGCACAATTTAAAAAATATAAAGTACCAAAGTCCAAAAACATTACAACCAAACCAACAGCAAACATCACACCATTCACAAAATTAAATCAAATTACATATCTACCTTTCAATGTGGGCAGCCCACAAATCACTGGAGAGAAGCTTCTCCCTCAATGTTCTAACCAGCTTCTTCCCCTCTGGAGGTGTTAGAAGTTAGACCACTTTACCCAACTTGTGAGCCTCACAAAACCCACAAATCCAATCCTCTTCAGGAACATCCTTCAGTGGAGGTTTCAAGCATTTCAAATGAAACCCACCTAAGCAATCATCGCACTCAATCATCACAGCCTTCCCAAACTTAAAACAAACCCTACATTCCTCCACTTCAACCAATTCCTCGTCTGAACTTGCATCCTTCTCTCATCCTCACATACACATTATTAAAGAAGCTAAAATTGAGTCATCAAAATGTTGATAACAATTAGTTTGTTATGCTTTGGTTAAGGGTATAAGTGTAATCTGATAGAATAACCAATACTATATATAACAAACTCTGCTGTAATTATTCATTACATTGAATGAAAGTATAGCCTTCGGTTTCTATATGGTATCACGCCCTTCTTGCCTCATGGCTTCTTCTCTCTCGATCCTCCCGATCTTCTTCACTTCTGCTCCCAATTTCTGATCTTTCTTCTCAATTTCTGTTGTGATTCTTCATTGTTCTTCTTTGATTGCAACTTTTGTGTAGTTGCCTGGTGTATTTCTCTGCATTTCATCACGGCGTCACCGTCCGATTCGTCTTCTCCCATTGAGTCGGTGCAAGCTCCAAACCCTAATTTCTCCAATTCTGCGATGTCTTCGAATTCGTATGCATCTCTTACAATCCTAAACATCGGCAGTATGGTACCAATCAAACTCAAACGATCAAATTACCTCTCATGGCGTGCTTTATTTGCCCCAATTCTGCGCAAGTATAAGCTTCCTAACATCATTGATGGTACTGAAGTCTATCCATCGCCTTTTCTTCCTGATCGCTCTCTCAATCCTACTTTTGAGATTTGGTATGAGAAAGATCAAAATCTTCTCATTTGGTTGAATTCTACTCTGTCTGAAGAAGTGATTCCTTTCACAGTCGATGTCTCATTGTCTCGAGACTTATGGCTTAAACTTGAGCAGCGCTTTGGAGGAGTCTCTGATGCTCACATTCATCAGTTACGCTCTCGTCTCCAATCAATTCAGAAAGGTTCACAGTCAATTTCTAATTATCTTCAACAAATCAAGGAAATTTTTGACGCTTTAATGGCGGCTGGTGCTCCTGTCACTGACCGTGACCTAATTGTGGCTACACTGGATGGCTTACCTGATGAGTTCGAATCCTTTACTGACTCACTTCTTCATTGCATCTCCACCACAACTCTGGATGAATTACATGGCTTACTGCTCACCAAAGAACTGTCAATGTCTCGAAGGAAGAAAGATGTCTCATCGAGCACCACAGAGCCTTATCATGCCTTTGCCGCTTAATTATAGCCTCCTATCTTGCCTACACCACCACTGCACCAGGCCTTCGCTGTTCAATCACAGCCTTCTCGTGGACATTACCGCAGCAATCATCGTGGAAACTATAGAGGCATTGCTCGTGGTCATCGTGGTAATTACAAAGGCAATAATTTTCGTGGCAATTCTCAAGGTTTTTGTAGCAACTCTCAAGGCTCTCATGGTCTTAATTGTCAAATCTGTGGATCAACCAGTTATGAGGCTATTGACTGTTTTGATCTAATGAATCTGGATATTTTTGGCAAAGTCCCTCATGCCAAACCTGCTGCTATGTGTGCACATTTTTCATCCAAGCCCTCTCCTTCTTGGCTCATTGATTCGGGTGCTACTTCACATATTACAAATGACATTTCTAACATTTCATCTCCTACTCCTTATCGCAATGAAGACAAGGTCTACATTGGTAATGGTAAAGGTTTGACAATTAACAACATTGGTTCTTCCTTTTTACATACTCCCTCTGCTACTTTTAAACTGCAAAATGTTCTTCATGTTTCCCAAATGAAGCACAATTTACTCTCTGCATATCAATTTCTCAAGGATAATTACTGTTCTTTGACATTTAATTTTGATGGATCCTTTGTAAATGATCGTTTTACGGGGAAGACGCTTTTGCGGGGACCGGTTAATGATGGTTTTTATCCCTTGCAATGTTCATCTCTGTCACCTACAAGCTCTGCTACTTCAACCACTGCCTTAATAAGTGTCATAGCACCTGTTCCAATTTGGCACAATCGACTTGGCCATCCCTCTTCTTCAATTTTCAAGCGTGTTCTTTCCCAGAATAAGCTTGCTCTTCAAGGCAGAACTTCAATGGATTTCTTTTGTTCCAACTGTGCTCTTGCCAAAAGTCACAAGCAATCTTTTAGTCCTATTAGTTATACTTCTTCTTATGTTTAGAACTTGTACATTGTGATCTTTAGGGTTCATTATGTCTGTGAGTGGTTATAGATACTATATGTTGCTTGTGGATGACTATAGTAAATACAGTTGGTTTTTTCCTTTACAGACAAAATCTGAAGTGTATTCTATATTTGTTGAGTTCAAGAGTTATGTAGAAAATCTTCTTGGCAATAAAATAAAGGTACTTCGTTCTGATTCAAGGGGTGAATTTACTAGCTCTGCGCTCCAGCATTTTCTCAAAACTTATGGTATTATACACCAATTTAGTTGTCCATACACACCTGAACAGAATGGTTATGCAGAAAGGAAACATCGCCATCTTGTTGACATTGTTCGAACCTTCTTGGTTGCTTCTAATGTGCCTCATGTTTTCTGGGTAGAGGCTTTTTCCACTGATATATACTTGATTAATCGCCTTCTAATCTCTGGTTTAATGCAATCACCCTGGGAATTATTGTTTCATACTCAACCTGATTACAGTCGACTGAAAGTATTTGGTTGCAGTTGTTTTCCATGGCTTAAGCCTTATACAACTTCCAAACTGGATAGCAAAAGTAAGTACTGTGTATTCTTGGGTTACAGTCTTCAACATAAGGGATATAGGTGCTTAGATCCAATGACACAGAGGGTATATATATCTCGTCATGTTGTTTTTGATGAATTTACCTTTCCATTTCATCACTCTCAACCACTGTCCTCCATTGATTCTTGGTCTACTGTAGTATCTTCATTCGATTTGCAGTTTACTGTTCCCTATTCTTCCAGGTCTTCTCTTACTGCTGCACCTGTCCCATATACTGATATCAATGTTGACTTGTCTTCACTGTCTCCCATCCAAAGTATTATCGATACTTCTTCACATGCTGAGACTGTTGATACCCATGCTGCCACTATTACTCCACATGCTACTTCTATTGATGTCACTAGTACTCCCATCTCGATCCCTCATATCTCTTCTACTGTGCACAATATTCATCCTATGATTACCCGGTCAAAAGCAGGGATATTCAAACCAAAAGCCTTCTCGGCCACCAAGCATCATCTTCCCTCTTCCATCGACTTTGTTCCCTCTACTTATTTGCAGGCTTCCAAGCATGCTCACTAGAGAACAGCCATGTAGGAAGAGTTTAATGCTCTGCAATCTACAGGGACTTGGGTTCTTGTACCCTCATCTCCTCATCACAATGTTGTTGGTTGTAAATGGGTGTTTCGGATCAAGAAACATCCTGATGGTTTTATAGATCGATATAAGGCTCGGCTTGTTGTCAAAGGGTTTCATTAACAAGAGGGCATTGACTATAAGGAAACTTTTAGCCCTGTTGCTAAGCCTATCACAATTCGCATTCTCTTGTCTCTTGCTGCTCAGTTTCACTAGTTTTTAAGCTGGTTAGATATTAGTAATGCATTCTTGCATGGGGATTTACAAGAAGATGTTTTTATGCAGTAGCCTCCTGGGTTTAGTGATTCCTCTTTTCCTAATCATGTGTGCAAGTTTAAAAAGTTTCTCTATGGCCTTAAACAGGCTCCAAGGGCTTGGTTTGACAAATTATTTCAAGTGTTGCGATCCTTTGGCTTTCAGCAATCATCTTCAGATGCCTCTCTCTTTGTCTTACACACTCCAACCATGGTTATCATCCTTGTATATGTTGATGGTATTCTAGTTACAAGACTTAATGCTACTCTCTGTCAACATTTCATCAATAAACTGAGCAATGTATTTCCAGTCAAAGATTTAGGTTCTTTGCACTATTTTTTGGGCCTTGAGGTGCACAGGTCGTCTGAAGGTATCTTTTTACATCAAGGCAAATATTTACTTGATCTTCTTCAGAAAACTAAGATGGATGGAGCCAAACCATGTTCCACTCCTTTAGGCACGTCAAAGCTTGATCATACAGGTTATCTTTTGTCCAACCCTACAAAGTATCGATTCTTAGTTGGTGCATTGCAATATCTTACCTGGACACGACCAGACATATTGTTTGTCGTTAATCAAGTATGTCAATTTATGCATGCTCCACGGGACTCCCATTTTCAAAAAGTATCCTCAGATTTTTGAAAGGTACTCTCACACATGGCTTATGGTTCAAACCAGGACCTTTGACTCTTACTGCTTATTCTGATGCTGATTGGGCAGGGTGTACCTTTGACAGAAGGTCCACCAGTGGCTATTGTGTCTTCCTTGGTTCTAATTTGATTAATTGAAGTGCCAAGAAACAGTCCACAGTTGCACGATTCTCTCCTGAAGCCGAGTACCGGTCGTTAGCTCATACCTCTGTAGAAATAACATGGATTTGTAAAGTTTTTTGAGATATTGGACTTCCTCTACCTCAGATTCCTCATCTCTGGTGTACCTTCCCTTAAACCCTAAACCCTCCTACCTCATATTCCATGCCCGAACTAAACATATTGAAATTGACTACCATTACATCCGTGAACTGGTTCTTGCTCAACTTATCAAGATTCAATATGTTTGTAGTCAAGATCAATTGGCTGATATTCATACAAAGTCCCTGTCTCGGCAGAGATTCTTATATCTTCAATCCAAGCTTCCTCTTAATCCTTTTGATGCTTCCAAGTTCAGCTTGAGGGGTGTAAAGAAGCTAAAATTGAGTCATCAAAGTGTTGATAACAATTGCTTATAATTTGTTATACTGTTTTGTAAATGGTTAGTTTGGTTAAGGGTACAAGTGTAATATGTTAGAATACCCAATACTATATATAACAAACTCTGTTGTAATTATTCATTACATTGAATGAAAGTATAGCCTTTAGTTTCTAAAATTATCGCTCATCTCAAACTCACTCCCATCATACACAACCTTCTTGTAATTAACCCGTTGTTTTGGCACTGATTTAACGCTCTTGTTCTCCTCAAAAGTGACATTTTTCGAGGCCCTAGATCGCGTAGTCACCATGCTTTTCTACTCCATTTTCCTCTTCTTAGTCTCCGACTGCCCTGGAGTCACCAGAGAGATTGCATTTTTAATCTCAGTCAAATCTCCCTCCTCTTTAGCGTTCAACTTCTTGCCATTCTCAGCAGATCTTGGGGTTTATGAAATTCCCACATTTCCCCCCTTTGTTCGTGTTTTGCCTGAATCATTTCGCAATTCGTGTTGAGTTGTCGCGTTTTTCATTGGCGAATCTTCAAAAAGTTTCTGGGGAGTGGCGGAACCGGCCTGCAGCGAGGCTTGGCGACCTGACCAATGAGGAGTCGGGGTTAGAGGAGTTACGGGAGTGAGAGACGGCAGTGGCTTAGAGTTGGAACGCTTGGATTTCTTGGGGGGACTGCAGGATCCTCTTCGGAGTCTCTGCCATGGCTGCTCCGACTCCGAGCGTGCAGAAACGATGGCAATGTAATTAGTGAAGAAAACATTCGAGACGGACAGAGATAGTGAATTTAGGGGGGAAAATGGCAGGAAAATTGCTATGGAGGGAAATCTGATACGATAATAGGATTGCTCACAGATGGCCCAACTACCTCTACTTCTACTTGGCCCATTTCCTCTGTGATAGAGTTTTTTTTTAGCTCTTACTTCAATATGAGGAGGAATATCACTAGACCGCCGTACTGAGTGAAATTAAATCTCAATTGTTTAACTGGTCATAATCAAATATCAATGCTATATATCGACTAAAATGATCAAAATCAATTCTCAATTGTTTAGCCGGTCATGATCAAATATCGACAATATAGCGATTTATCAAAAATCAAAATTATTTAACGGATCATAATTAAATATCAACAACATATTGGCCAACTATCAACGATATATTAATTAAGTGTCGCCATATAGCAATCAAATATTAAAAACAACATCGACCAAATATCAAAAAACATTTTTTAATAGTGTTGGCAGTGGTTTTTTCTTTCAAATTTTGAAAGGTCTTTTATTTGATAATGAGTAAACTACCGATTTTCCCCTTTGATTTCCCTCTAAACTTTTTAATTGGAAAATCAAGGACTTAATCTAACTTTTTTGGCCAATTCCCCCCCCCCCCGGCACGCGCGTTAATTTTCCATAGATTTCATCCAAATTAACGTTAACTCTTATCACGTGCATACTATGACTCCTTTGAGGACAAAAGTGTCACTTCGCTAGACTTCAGACACAAAAAAAATTATAGAATCACATAGATTGTCATAGGTTGACAATCTAGAAATCTAGGGTTTTCAATTATTTTAAAGAACAAAGCAACCAAACTACCCTAAGATGTTGTACATATGCTTCCATTTAACAAAAATTTGGATGAAATGAATGAAAAACTAGCAACAGGGGAAATTGACCAAAAAATTTAGTTGAGGTCCTTAATTTTCCAATTGAAAAGTTAGAGGGAGAATCAGAAGTTTAATGAAAGTTCAGAAAGGAAAATCGACAATTTACTATGATACATAAGGTTCATTATTTTCACATGGAATTGGTTACGTTGACTAGAGCGGTTGTGTCAGCCCTTTGCATCCGAGTTCAAACCACCCTCCACCCCATATTATTATTTTGGGGATCAAATTTTCCATACTTGTACAAAAAAAGTAACCACTCAAAACTAATCCCTTTTCCTCAAACTATAAAAAAAATTAATAATAAAAATAAATAAAAAAAAGAAAAAAAAAAGAAAAAACAAACAAGCAAACAAAAAACAACAACAACAACACTGTCTTAATACTGTTTTAAACTTAGCAACCATCCTAGCTCATGAGGATGGATGCAATAAATAATGTTTGATAACTCAAAAATCTTAATGCGAAAAATAAGGGTCCCAAACTTAACTCAAAAAAGGGTCCCGTATTGACATAGCCACCGGGCCTCAAACTTCAACACAATTTCATATCGACAGCCTATGATTAGATCCTACGGAACTAGATCAAAGTGCAGTGTACCGCTGTACTCTTCCTGCCCTCAGTTTCACTCCGGTGTTTATAAGGGCGATCTGTATAAACACTATGCTAACCATGACTAAGCTTGCTGCGTAAATGACGATGTTCTCAACCACAAGGGCCGGCACAAAATGGCCCTTTCGTGGTAGCCGAGGTAAGCTGCATTTAACCTAGCAATCAACGAAGAGAAGCAAACAAGTCAATACACAGTTATTTATACTACATAGTATGATGATTTCCTCCGTACACCAATGGTGTCGAGAGAATCTAATATTACAACTCGCAACAACGATCTTTGAAAATAGGGAGTATTTGTTCTGTTCTATCTTGCCTTGGAAGAACTATTAATGCGAGTAATGTAATACAAAATAAAAATGCCAATGCTTTCAACCATAACTATGTATGTCATGTGAGGCCATTTTTTAACAGTTTATGAATATTTCCGCAATGGTTGATAGTTGATACATTGACCTTATCGCATGGTTAAAAGATACAAACCGACAAGATATAAGTTTATATATTAACTCGTTCAACTTTAATTTTACTAAATATAATTCAGTTAAAAGATGTTGCATTAACAAAAAAGGTGAGAAGATGTACTTATCAACATCTGGTGTCACCAAGGGATCATCCAACTCTTCTCTCTGTTCAACAGACAGGATAGTACCTCCCACAGTTGCAACATCTTGAACTCCTTCAACCTGAAAACAGAAAAATCCAAAAATATACTCAAAGAAAAGCAAAGAAGTTGCAATCGTTAAACTATCACGTCAATTCCTTGTCAAGTTGTAGATGAAGTACTCTAGTACCAGCTAGCTAACCGAACAATATGGAAGACTAAAGGTTGAAAGTTCTTTGACCCAACAATAGCAACAATCAGGATACATGTGAAACTGAAATCATAGACTTGCCTGTTGAGGATATTGGCCATAGCCAGCATATGCACCGTATGCATATAATGATGGATCAGGAGTAGCCCCGTAAGCATAGGCATCGTAGCCTTGTCCGTAACCATAATATGCAGCCCATTGGTTTGGATCTACTTGCTGACCCCAGCTACCAGGTACATCCTACGATATGACAGTTTTTCAGGCTATACTTGACTGTAGATTGTTTTTTATGCATCCGTGAGAAGATGTAACAAACTCGAGTTCTCTTTCATGCATCGTACATCAAGGAAAGAAGAAATATATAGAGAACAACACTCTCATCCAAAAAAGTAATCACCTGTTTCACTGTTGGGCTTCTGCCCCAAGAAATACGGACTACTTGTTGACCAATCATCTTTCCCTGCATCCTTTGGATAGCTTCTTCAGCCGATGCCCTGTATGGACAGAAGTGAAACCAATAAACAACCAAAAGTAACATTTTGTCTTTCTTGGGGAAGTTGAAAGGCCTGAGAAAAACATTGCAAACATTTTCTTGCCTCTTTCCTTCATGCAACGCCCTTCGTTCAAGCAAAAGGAGACACGTGACAGGGGCTAACATAAATAAGCCAACATTCTAACTCTAATCAGCTATGTATTTGGAAATCGGTAGGAGGGACCAAGATGGATGGCGAACCATTTTTTTGATAAAAATAAAATAAAGAAAATGGAACAATCAAGTGAAGGCTAAAATGCTAAACGAACCTTGTCCCAAACTGTACAAAACCACATCCTTTCCCCACAGGAATCTTGACATAGAAAATCTCTCCAAACTGCATAAAAGTTTGCTTGAGTTCATCCTCCGTCACATTAGGATCCAAGTTACCAACAAAAATCTGCATTGAACATAACCGTGTAGATCATAAGAATAATAAATTAGACACAAAAACGAAATAAAGTAATACAGTTAAGCACATCAGACATACTGTAGTGTTGTTTATGTCATAATCTGCTGTTGGAAGTACTGGAACTGCTGGTGTAGTGTATGCTGGAACAGGATATACCACTGCCAGAAAAATCCACAGGTAAGTGCATAGGATCAGGTTAACTTGACATTTTCAAGAGAGCATTGTGGAGACAATAGAAATAATACTACATAAACTTAATACATGAAGCCAAGTAGGAGCACATCCTTCTGTCCACAACTTGAATTTATTTCTATATCGATATATGAAATGCCCTTACCTTTTGCAGTAGCATATTGTTGCTGAAAACCGGTGGTTTTCTTCGGTGTTGCTGCACTGATGCGCATTGGTCTACTTGAGCAATACTGACCATTCATTTCTGACATAGCTCGGTTCCTTTCAGTCTCATCAGCAAACTTGACAAACCCATATCCCTTTGAGCGTCCAGTGTTAGGATCAGTCACAACCTTGGCACCTCTAACTGATGGATAATTAGTTTGAAAGGTTTCTTGCAACGTATAATCTGTAACATCAGGGGCTAAATCGCCTACGAAAATAGAGTGCTCAGGCGCAGCATCAGGACGTCTTTCCCCAATACCAAAGGAAGCCCAGTTTAACCTAAAAGTTTGTTCAGTTCCAGGCATTTGTGTCCCATTGTAAGCATGCAGCACCCTTTCCGCTGCGGCATGAGAAACAAATTCTACAAACCCATAACCCTCCGGCTGGCCAGTAATTTTATTACGTATTATCTTTATTGAAATCACCTGCATAAAGTAATCATATAAAAGTAAGTAATAGCATCTCCTTTCAGCAGACTGCTATAGAATTGCATAATTAGTTTACTTAAGCCACCTATCAAGCTTGCTTTTTCTTTTTTGTGGATGGGAGTCAGGGACACAAACTTAAATTAAACCATATAAATAAGAAATACAGCCAAAGATGGATGAAATGTAGAAGCTGCAAAACTTAAATCTTTCAAAAACAATATCCACTGCCATCACCTTATCATCAAAGACTATTATTTCATCCAAACAAATTTAAGCAGAATCCAAAAACGAACACCGCAAAAGGGTATCACCCTCTTATTTGTCCCAACTCTCAAATAAACCTCAACCAGCAAAAAAAAATTCTTGCCCAAACCCACTTCATTCAAGTACTTTCAGTAACCTAATCCAGACTTGGTAGTAAGCCAAAAAATATGATCAGCACTCTCTACATTACTTCGCATAGGATGCACCAACATGCAAATTAAAGAAGTTCATCGTCTATTTGGCGACTACAAACCACAAAACAATATGTACTTTAGTTGGTACATCAGTATTTCAAAATCAATTTATATGGCTCTGGAATGGGATTAACTGGAACAAAGAATGAAAAGGGTGCAAGGAAAGACTTCATGAATAAGCTAAAATTTTCAGTCCATCCTGGGATCATTCAAATATTAACTAAGCCACAAGTAGACCAGACAATTTTGAAACTCTCTATGTCAAGTTCCTCCTAAATGAATGTTCCAAGAAATGCATGAGAAAGTGAAAGGAAACAAGAACAGTAATCAGTAATTATGTCAAATCGCAAAGCTTAGCTACACAATAGAGATGCATAGGAGCAGACGAACATAAAAAAACTAGTGTACAGCACTGAAAATAACTATCTGTAGATTATGAACCCTGAGGACCACCGGTCGAGGGGAAGCCCAACAACGAAGTCTATCCCATGAAGATCCAGCCTTCTCCTCCCTTGCTCACTCAAACATCCTTCTACTCCTCTCCATCCCCACCACACAAAAGAGTACTGTGACCCCGCATCTCCTAACACTAGAGAGATTATACCTCTCACAGTACAAAAAGCAGCTCGAATGGGCTTCTGGCTTCCCTAAACATCCACAAGATCAAAGGATCAAAGCAATAGGACAAAAAATCAAGAAGTGATCAGAGCTCTCAGCAGCACTTTTGCAGATCACACACCAGTGTGGTAAGAGATACTAGTAAGGCTGATTCCTCTTAACCAGATCACAAGTGAACAGCCATACCTAGGGAGGTACCTTGGCCTTTCAAATTGCTTGAAGGGGCTCGATAAAGGGTGTAGATGAGTTGCCTATTCATTTTTACTCATTTTTTATTATAAAATTCATACATAACTGATACAGTAAAGAACCACAGATTGGAAAGATGAATCAACATTCGAAATATCTTCCCAACTGAAGTTTAGTGCAAGTAAACGTAAATGAAGTCTATGAATTTGAATATTGGCATTTCTCCCACTCGCTAGTCCAAGTCATATTTCACACAGTATTTCAAATCAAAGTTTCTTATATCATTGAGTCCAAACACAGAGCAAAGATTGATCTAGGTTCCAGAAAGTAAACAATAAAGAAGATGCCAGCTAGCATAGAAGGCAATTTCTCTTGGTATCATGAATTAGGAATATAATTTCACATTCACCAGGGATTATGGAATGGCAGAAGACTACCTTCCATTTCATATCCCAGAGAGTTAATGAACCACCAACGGGCCAACAAGTTAAATATCAGAAGAGCGGCCTTGCTTTCTTAACTCTTCTAGAAATAACCACAAATATAATCTAGTAAACTGAATAGAACAGTGGAAATCATACTGGCAATTTCAATTGGCCCTTACAAAAAATGGACTATTAATCCTCTAGAGGTCACAGGACTCCAATTACAAAGTGACAACATCCAACATATCGTCATCCTCACTAAAAAAATGTCCAGTTACACAGTAGTTTCTTTTCCCCTTGTTTGAGTTACAACGGAAGGGAATCAAACCCTTCACCCAGCCTAATCCAAACCCATGTCCCACCCACCCTCATCACTTGGGCTAACAAAACAACAATATTCAGCTCCAAAGACGATAAATTTCCGTTTCTTGTAGGCTGCTCAATGCCCTACCCACCATATACCTATAAATTAGCCCGAAATACGTATTCACAAAATTCATGCTTTATCAATAACCAAAGCAAACAATTTTTCAATCAAAGATTTGTCCTACATCAGTTCAGTCTGTCATTGACTCATTGTAACACGTAAATATTCATCCCTAGAAGAAAGCAATTCCAGGCAACCCAGAACGACACAATGCAGTAAGCAAAAAGCAAAATCAAGAGGGAAATACCCTTTTTATTCCAAGTTACTAAACTCAAAATTTCCCGTAAAACCCTAACAGATAGTATACAAATGAAGAGAGAGAGAGAGAGAGAGAGACTTCTCCGGTGTGAGCAAAGCAGGTATTGAGGTAGTTTTCATCGACCCAATACTGTAAATCGCCAATCCAGAGGGTTCTGACCTCCTCCACTGAAGTTGGCTGATTATGATGCTGGTACCCCTGAGACAACGTCGTACGAGCCGCTGCCATCATACTACTCAGCGGCTGAGCTGAGCGCTCATCATTTTTCTTAGTTTCTGAAACTATGCTAACTTGGAACAACTGCTTTTCTGCCGGCAACGGGAACAAAGACGGACCCAGCAACACTCAGGGATAACAACTGTTACGACAGCGTTCTGTTACCCCGACTAAATACACTCCGTTTTTGCACTTTGTTCAACCGTGGGTGGTGATCATTGATTTCCGTTTGAATTAGTTTGCTTTAATTCATTTAAGAAATAAATTTCAAAATTTAAACTCTTATTAAAAGGGATGAGCATCACTCTCACTTTAGGTCCCGATCTCATCCCGAAATTAGACCGAAAAAATGCCCGAACTGAAAATCTCGAAACCTTCAGTACGCAGAACCGAACTGATCCCGAAAGTTTCAGTTTGGGATTCGGGCTCATCTATGTAATCGTTCAGTAATCTCAAACCGAACCAAATATTATATATATATATTTATTTTTTTATTTTTTATTTACTTTATAATTACAAATTACTTGGATGTTAAGATTCAATCTCAATCGTCCATTGTAATCCTATTGCTTCATACCTCTCTCACTCTCGAATCCATCTTCCATTCAAACTGAAACCTAAGTGCCTAACCTTATCTCTCTCAAATCCCAATGCCGCTCCTCCATCCACCTTCTTTAACGCAAATCCGACCAGAGCAAGCACACCTTCTCCGACACACATAGAGAAGAAGCACACCTTTTCCGACATGAATCCAACATGAATCGAGTCCCAAAATCTAGGTAAGGGTTTCCGATTTTGGGTGGGTTTTTGTTGTTTTCGTTTGCAGTCAAATTGCATGTTGATTTCTGGATTTGATAGGGTTTCGGGTTGGGTGGGTTTCGAATTAGGTTTAGGGTTGCAGGTTGGTTTTAAAGGTTGCAGGTCATTGGGAGGGTTTCAAGGTTTAGGTTGCAGGTCAAGGCCCAATCTCGAAGTGACCTGAAATCCTGAAAAAATTTCGAGCATCCTGAATTTTGGGAACCCAAGTGTTTGGTTCGGTTTCAGGATATAAAATCGCGACCCGAAATATTTTGGTTTGAGACTCAAGTTGGAGGTTTTGGTTCTAGTTCCCGACCCAAACCACCTTTAGTGATAATACTCAGTGACAGGTGAGAGAAGTTATTAAGTAAGTCACTTAGCGATAATACATTTGTTAAGTTATCTGTTAAAACAGCCGTTAACCTATGACGTGATATCCATGTGAACAATGACTGGATGACACGTGTCAATATAGGTCGATGTGAATATTAAACAATTAAAAAATATATTCTTTTGTCTTCTCCCTTCCTCTTCCCCCGCACATCCTCCTCTTCTTTCCTCATAGATCTCATCTCACTCACTCAAGATCCACAAGAACACCACTTCCCTCTGTAAAATCCCCCAAAACCATGTCTAGACCCACCTCCAGATTCGTCCTCTTCACCCTCACCCTCACCCTCACCCTCACCCTTACCCTCATACTAAATTTCCCAACCCTTATCAAATCCTCTGAACCCCAAAACCCCATCACAAACGAAACCGAAGATGGAAGAATAACGCTGTCAGGAGCAGTTCCGGCTCCGACGTCAGAAAAAGTAGCGACAAAGAATGGAAGAGTGAGAATGGGAGGATATGGCATCATTGGTGGGTTTGGGTGTTCGATCTGGACCTCCTGATCGACGTCCTAGACGTAATTTGTTCAGATCCAATGGCGTTGACGCCACTATTGTGGGTTTGTACTGTTTTTCCCAAATTACTCTACCTTTTTGGGGAAGCCAGGGTTTTACATTGAGGATTTGTGAGGGAGTGCTATAGGATGAAGGGTTGAGGCCTAGGTGCTTCAATCCGATCCAAATTTTGTTACATTTTCATACTCTTTGTCTCTCTGCACCACCATAAACCACCCTTTAAAAAAAGGCTTATTAATCAAAATGCCCCCGGAAACTGTCATTGAGTCTTAGTTTACCTCTAGAAATTGGTTTTGTCTCACTTTGCCCCCTGAAATTGACATTTTCATTTCTTTTTTCTCACTTTACATACTTCTGTTAATGGACTGTTAAATGTAAGGGTATTTTAGACATTTTAGTTTTTACACATTTATTTACCTCTAGCCTACACATTAAACAAGTTTCAATTTTATTTTTGACAACTCTAATTCAAAAACATAATTTTTGGGCATTTTTAAAAATAAATTATTCAATCAATAGAAAAATTCTGAGCAATAAAATTATTGTATCAACCAAAATAAGGTTTACATTTGTTCGTAGAGTCGAAACTTTGCAATTGAAAAATATTTGTTACAACAAAATCATTATACCATTAAGCAATCCTATCCAAAATACTTCTCAAACCTAAAAAATCATTTACAGCAAAGGTGCATGGTTTGAAACAAAAAATTTCACATTGTTGAGCACTGATTCCACTAGGCATGATGAGCTCATTCAAACTATGCACATTTGCTTCAAATATTTTTTTTGTTTGGGAAGTATTTTGGGTAGGATAGCTTAATGGTATAATGATTTTGTTGTATGAATATTTTTCAATTGCAAATTTTCAAGCCAATACATAGATGTCTTGTAACTGAAATGACTCTACAAACAAATGTAACCATTATTTTGGTTGATACAATGATTTTGTTGCTCAGATTTTTTCTATTGATTGAATCATTTATTTTAACAAAATACCCAAATTTTATGCGTTTGAATTAGAGTTGTCAAAAATAAAACTAAGACTTGTTTAGTGTGTATGCTAGAGGTAAATAAATGTGAAAAAACTAAAATGTCTAAATACCCTTTAAATTTAACAGTCCATTAACATAAGTGGGTAAAGTGAGACAAAAAAGTTGAAAATGTCATTTTCAGGGGGCAAAGTAGACAAAACTAGTTTCAGAGGGTAAACTGAGACTCAATGGTAGTTTGAGGGGGCATTTAGACTAATAAGCCTAAAAATAAATAAACTAAATTTTTTTTTCTAAACCTTGCGCAACAATTTACTTCATCGCATAATATTAAAAGCAACAAATTACTTCATTGTGCATGACACACCCCGACCTAAATCAGAGCGTGTTGGCCATCACGTGAGAGTGACGTAACCATGTGCACAGTGCGGAAGCAATAATGATATAAGGAATTACGAATAACTAAAAACCAAGCTACCAGCAATACTAGCTAAGAAAAGGTGCTAGTGCGAGATTAAGTGTGAAATACACCATCAGAGCATAAATAGCCTAAGTGCAGTCTGACTAGACAAGTACTAGATATATAACACCCAAAGGTGATCCTACATTTGTGATGCTCTGTCAGAACCACCGTCGAAATCCCCGCGAACCACCAAAGCACTCCTACCTAAAGCCAGGAGGGGCGCAAAACAAAAAGTGTGAGTGGGCAAAAACAATACTTTTCAAAATCATTTCATTTCTCAAAAGTTCTAACCCCTCGCCTTAAAACCTGTATAATTTCCCAGAAATTAATGTATTCTATGTCATAAATCATGCTCAGGATGAAAATCCATAGAAATATATCATGCCAAAGTATCTCAATGAAATGTTATAAGTAATCCAATTCAAATATATCAATGCCAGATATCATATCAGTCGGATCCACCTAACATGACCTGCACGGCTAAGTCTACAGCTCATAACCAATCTCAATCATATCAAATCCTGCACACGAGTAAGACCCACCTAAAGTGGTTTGTATGACAAGACTAGGTGTAAAATAAATATGCTCTAGTGCTACGATCACGTGAAAGTTATGTGAATGATCGCGGGTCACTTACGAGTCGGAACCACTTAAAGTGGTATGTAAGACAAGCCTGTGTACCTAACTTGGATCTAAGGTGAGCATGTGGTGCGGGAGGTGAACATCACGTGAATGACTGTGCCTTAACTCTGGGCGGGAGCACTAACACTGGGGTGCAGGTTTATGAGCTCTCAACACATTTCACATAATCAAGGAATATCTTTTGGGATGAGCTGTCACAACCTACCCCCTTAAGAGAATTTTGCCCTCGAAATTCACACAATAAATACAATCCACTAATAATCATAAAACAACCTTGGATAGATATCTTTCATCTAGTCATCTATCTCCCAAGTTACTTCCTCCACTGAGTGATTCCTCCATAAAACTTTCACTAAACGTACGGTCTTGTTCCTCAGCACCTTATCTTTCCAATCCAATATCGTCACTGGCTCCTCATCATAAGTCAAATTTGGATTAATTTCTGAAGGTTAAGGAGGTATCACATGTGACGGATCAGAAACATAATGACGAAGCATGGAAACATGAAAAACATCGTGCACTTTAGACAACTTTGGAGGCAATTCAAGCTTCTAAGCAACTTCACCGACTCGCTCGGTGATCAGGTACGGTCCGATGTACCTAGGACTTAGCTTGCCTTTTTTCCCAAACCGTACTACACTTCTCCATGGTGATAGCTTCAGAAATACCCAATCACCTACATTATACACCAGGTCGGTGGCATTTCTGTCTGCTAGACTCTTCTGTCGATGCTGGACTGCTTTCAGGTTAGACTTAATCACCTGAACATTCTGCGTAGTGTCATCCATGATCTCAGGGCCCACCAAAATTCTTTCACCAACCTCCGACCAATATAAGGGTGTACGACAAGATTTACCATAGAGTGCCTCAAATGGTGACATACCAATACTTGAATGAAAGTTGTTGTTGTAGGCAAATTCCATTAAATCCAACCACTTATGCCAAACGTCACCAAACTGCAATACTGAAGATCTCAGCATATCTTCTAATGTCTGAATGGTCATCTTTGATTGTCCATCTGTTTGAGGATGATATGATGTACTATAAAGTAATCTCAAACCAAGAGCTTCCTAGAATGCTATTCAAAACTTAGAAGTAAATCTAGGATCGCGATCCGAGATAATACTAACTGGAACTCCATGGTACTTCATAATCTTTAATATGAACAATTCAGTTAATCAGCTTAAAGGATACTTCTCCCTCACATGACTAAAATGTGTTGACTTAGTAAGTCGATCAACTATCACCCAAATTCCATCATAGCCATTATGTGAACGAGGAAGCTTGTACACAAAATCCATAGTAATATTTTCCCATTTCCACTGTGGAATGGGAAGTGGCTGCATCAATCCAAAAGGCTTTTTTCTTTCTGCTTTGACTTGCTGACAAATGACACACCCACTCACATATTCAGCAATTTCTCTTTTCATACCTGGCCAATAATAAAATGATCG